TGATGGTGATGATATGCTGTTGGTGAAGATGTTGATGTGGAAGATGAAGTTGATCACTGGGGCATGATGAAGGTGATGATGTGGAAACTAAGATTGATGATGGTGATGATACACGTGATGATGTTGATGGATGATCATGGTGATGATGTGGAAGATGAAGTGATGAAGGCGATGATGTTGAAATTGAAGTTGGTAGCTGCCCCGCGCGATTTTTTTGCACGGACTTTCGGGAAAAATTGAAAACGAACAAAATAAATCCACAATTTTTCATTGCATCAAATTGACGTTAGTTGGCGGCAATCTGGAGTTTATATTTTTTACAGCGCCAACAATGACGATGATTTTGTATTCAAGCTCCTGGAATGCATTGTGGGTTTGAACTTTGTAAAGTGCGTTGAAACGTGCGGATCGTTTTGCGCTTAATTTTTGGATGCCCCATTGCTTTCGCATGATTCGCATGGCATTCTTGCTTTTTTGAAAACTACCGTGTGGCTAAAAACGTTTGTTATTGAGGGACGTGTGGCCGCGGGCACCAAAAACCATTCGGTTGACCGGTGCTTCGAAGCAAGCGTCACCACGGGGTGGAGCGCCTTCCACGTCTTTTCGGTGCGAAAACGAAAAATATCTCGGTGCAAACGCAAAGATCCAAGCGATGTTATCACTTATCACAGTGACCTGAGCAAGGAACCTGTTTCGTCACCTCGGGTACCTATGGGATAGCCCATGGGATAGGGTTCTTCAAGCTCTGTTGGATGTTTTTTGGCAGGGTTTGATAGCGTTTGAAGGAGCTTTCTCCATGCAATGGTGGATGGAACTGTGTACAAGTGCCGCTGTTTTTGGACTCCTTTGGACATAACTTAAAAGCACCCGGAGTCCTGGCTTGGAAAAGAACAAAATTGTGGTGATTCTGCAGTTGTTTTCCAGGATGACACCCGGTATGTGTCCGCTTCCATGGAATTCTGCCATCAAAAACGCCATTGTTCACACCGGGGGCCCGTCCTCCAGCACGTCACCTGGGCGACTCGCACGAACCCGTTCTCCGCCCCAACCGACCGCAGCTCCCATCCGACCCACATGCCGCGCGGGTGGCGGTGTCCTCGGTGCGTATTTGAAGGATGAGGTTCTTTATTTTTGATTTCATGGAACCAAATGGAACTTGGAACGTCAACTCCGTGAATTTGTTCTCCATGCGGAAACACGTTTCTGCCGACACACCAAATGCGACACACCACAGTGGTGGACACACGACCCTTTGTCCGACCCAGGTCCTTCGTTCGTGTCTGGCATGAAACCGAGAAAGGTTATTGTTTTGAGAAACTGTTATGCCATTTTCTCTCTTCTGCGGGGCTGTTGGGGCTGTTGGGTTTGGGAAATGGCTTTGTGACTTTTTGCGGTTGTTTGTAACACCAATCAGTTTATGGCAAAAACAATCAGTGTTGCCGCGGGCTGTTGTACTTGTTCCAGGGTTTCTGGTGCACTCCTTCCCGCCGCGTGCTGTTGTTCTTTTTGGGCAGCGACTTCCATCCTGTTGCACCTGTCTCCGTGTGCTTGTATGTGGCTGGGCAGTGTCTTGCGGGCACGTTTTTGATGCGTTTTTGGAGTGTCTTCCACGCCAGGTGCAGGCGTTGGAAAGCCGTGCCAGGCTGGGCCCGCCGGTTTCTGGCCTGGCGGGTCCTCCTTGTCCCCCGTGGAGCTCCTCCGGTACTTGTGTGCAAACCGTTGTGGGGAACAAGGCGGAGTTCTGGCCAACATGAGTTCCGCCAAGCAGGCTGGTCACGTTCCACGTAAGCACGCGTTGTGAAGCTCTTTTCTTTGGGTCAAGTCCGCCTCCAGTTTCGATCAAGCCTGGCTGGTGGTGCGAATAAACCTTTAGATGAAATGCAGAACTGCCACCGTCTCACTGCAAAGCAACCGACGACGGAACCTTTGGGGAGAAGCGCTTTGAGGACATGACCGGCACGCGGGAAAACCGAGCGAGATGCCGAGATGCACGGAAAATTAAGCAAAAACTTATGGGTTAAAGATTTCCCAGGCGTCCAAAAAACATTGGTACACCACTCCGCTGCTGTTAGTGACTGGTTGCAACAACAGAGATCAGACCCGAGTTCTTGCAAATAGGTCCTTGGCGCTGGAGATGGTGGTCATTCAGGCTTTTGGCGCCCAAGGGGGCGTCTAACGCCGTGAAGGGGGGTTCATGGTGGCCTCAACGTTTTCCAGCTAAAGCGTTGTGAACTTTTAGCCTCCGGGAAGCAAAACCAAGTGGACAGGGGCAAGCAGGTTCCCGCAGTTCTACTTTGGAGCGTGTGCGTTTTTTAGGCTTAAACCTAACGTTGAAGGCTGGGGTGGTTGGCCCCGAGGCATTTACTTCACACTTTGTTAGCAATCATACCTGCAGGAGCCCGTCGCACTCGCAATGTTCTTTGTTTTTGAGAGCTTTTATCACAGGGGTTGCAAGGAACGAACTCTCAGAGAGGCAACCCGTTTGTTCCCGCACGCCATGACGTGGCGGCCCTGAATCATTGGCGCCATTGTCACCACAATTGACTGTTATGTTTTTAGGGGGGCGAAGAAACACCAAATGAGAAGAGAGAAACCTACTGAAAGGGAAAATGCAACAGCTTTCTGGTTCGCAAGAGCCGAAACGCCGGAGAATGAAAACAAACTGAGAGAGTGGTCCCAAACAGCCGTTCATCCAATAAGTCATGAGGTTTGGCCGGGGGGGCGTCCGTAACTCCTATGTCATGAAACTAAAACCTTGAAATCACAGAGCATATCGTCAACGATTTGTCAAATCGTGGATTTTACATTGACAAGCGTCATGGCCTAAAGATTTTGGTATCTAAGCAGTGGAAAACCACTCGGGAGAAAGGATTTTGAGCGCAAAAAACACATGGAGATAGACTTCAATGACATAGTCATGTGCACGTAAACATTCAGGACAGGGGCCTAAGTCAGTCACAATGCCATTTATGATTAGCAGCGTGTGAGGGTTGGGTCAGCGATCTTGTCTCACCACCTTATCAGTTGTCATCCATCATGAAGCCACCGTGTTCATTAGAAGGACAATAGGCGCCCTATGATTTAGGACTTGCGGGCATTCTGCTCAATCATTCTCACCTAAACAGACGCAAGGCTAAAAGTCTCACCACAAATAGAACTAGTTTCCTTCAGTTTGCCGACTTGGCTTGCCAAGCATCCTGTGCACCTGGAATGAGAGGTGCAGTCATGAACAAGAGCAATCCCTATGTCCAAGGACTTGTGTGGACGGTGCACCTAATCGCTTTCACCCAAGAAAGCATACCTCCAAAAAAAAGGGCAACCTGCAGAGAGCAGCCGTTTCCTTCTGTTCTGCCGACGTTGCTGGCAAAGCATCCTTTCACCATCCGGAAACCCACAATGGGGAACAGGGTGGGCCCGACAGTAACCCACAGCCCAGGTCATCACTTTTGAACCACCTGTTTCTTTGTATTCAGGCATGCCATTTCAGCGGCTTTGTGTGGTTCGTGCTGCTTTTTTGGAACAACACGAGCACCAGGACATTGGTGTTGAAACAGGATGGCAAAAGTCCCAAATCATCAGGCCCCATACATCGAGCAAGAGAGACCACAACCGTTCATGACATACGACTACGGCAACCGATGACGTGATGGGGAGGCGGACCCAACGTGTTTTGTACGAGAAGGTTTGATAAGTCAAGGTTCTTTGTAGCTTAAGTGAGCGCGCGCACGGAGAGCGATCGTTGATTCCGCGTTTACCCTTAGGTGGTGTTTCTTTGAACACCAGAAGGAACGGAAACGTTCAATCTTATGAGATCAAAAACGAAACTCGGATGGAACAAAAGATTATCAAGCCAGCACAACTTCCACATCCCCAAGTGTAGTAACGACATGTGGTGGCGGGAATGAAGTAGTTACAATGGTTTTTTATATGCGAATTTGCCTTGCGGATGCAAAACCTCACCATACCATACCAGGGGGGAATGATCCCCCTGGTGGTTCATGAGATTGCTTTACCTAGTCACCAAGTCTTTGATCTCATTGAGTACGGTTTTGCGCCTGACTGGGTCCGCCTTTTGCCAGTCACAAAAAGCAATTCCGCGACACCAAGGGAGAGCCAGCTTTGGCTGAGGACACGAGTGTGTGGGACCAGCGCGCACCCCCAACTCAAGAAAATTTGAAACGATGAAGACGCAAGCGTGCGGAATCATTATTGCCTGTGATCGAAAATGCACAGAGGACCAGCCTCCCTTCCCAGCGGATCCTTTTTCCGCATGTAAACATAGCATTCCAACCATGGACCATGGCGCGGGTCATCTAGGTGTTGAAACGGCCTTTAGCTAAAGCAAGGTTTATTGGTTTTCTCGCCCAAAACATGTATATGTTTGTGATTACATTGTCAACGAGAAATTGGCATCAAATGGCCATTGGCATCACAGATCGCGAATCTTGCATACGGAAATAGGCCCTGCCTTCACCATACGCTGCAATTTGATGACTCGTTTAGCAAACGGTCGAGGGTATTATTTGCAGGCCTTGAGGACCTCAGTCGGAGTCACTCAATTTGTTTGGAGTTCGGAGTCATCTAGCTGTTGAGGTGGCCTGCAACGTCATTTCTTCCTAGCCGCACAACAGCTCGTTCCGTGCCACTGCTTTGTGGAGTGAAGCCGGCCTGGTTGAAAAGCAAATTAGTTGACAGCATGAGAGACATGAGCGTATAATATATTTGTTGGCTGATAAAAAGCGACGTGGGGCACATATTTGACATTGGGCAAACCAGACAATATATGTGTCTAAACTCGCTTGCTGGGTCATCCATAAAAGGCGTGGAGGCATGGAACCGGCACTCGCCGAAAAATTGGGCGACAACGGTGAGCACCAGGCACCCAAGGCAAAGATCTCCGACCTCGGCTTTGAAGAAACTTGCGTTGCAGTTCAACACTTTGGAAGTATGAACCACAAGGTTTTGAGGAAACCCTCAGCCTTTGCAACGAACTCAGGACGATGACTTTGGCTGCAGCTATGAGGAAGGCCTTCGGGGAAGTGAAGGAGGAAGGGAGGGATGAAGTGAAAGAGGAAGTGAAGGATGAAGTGGAAAAAAAAGTGAAGGAGGGTCATGAATGGAGCTGGGAACAGCAGCCCAAATGGGCTGCGGAATGGCTAGAGCACAGAAGGCCTAGTTCATGGTGGACCACATCATCACAATAGGCGGCTGGCGATGGCACCCTGGGTAAGCCAATCAGCGGATGTCACCCCGGGCAAGCCAATCGGCCGCATCCAGCAGCTTGCACTGGCGTTGATATCTTTGAATTTTGTATTAGTTGACGAGCACACAACCTATCTATACATCCGTCTGAAGTTTGAATTGAGAACTTTGAGCCGGTTTGAACTTTGAAGCGCTTTGAGGCGATGGTTGGGCGAAAGGCTCTGGGCGACAGCGGGCCCTTTCCAGAACTGCGACTGAGGCTCTCGCGACCGTGGCTGGGACTCTTGCGACTGCTTTCTTACACGGGGTGCGCCGTGAAGTTCGGCCTTGGCGGAAGGAGTGGGACGCGAGCGGGCGGAACCTCCGGAAGCTGCGGGCGCTCAGGTAGGGCTGCGGAAGGAGTGGGACGAGAGCGTGCGGAACTTCCAGAAGCTGCATGCGGTGGGCTTCTGTGGCTTTGAGGTGGCAGCCGAAGAGATCGAAGCGGCAGCGTGCACAGTCGTGGCACAGACCACGCTAGAGATGCTGAAAAGGTGTTTGCTGGCAAAATTTTAAACTTGCTAATCTATGTGTTGAAAAATTTGAGTTGACTATAGTAGAGATCCGGGTCATTCACTGCCCACAATTGGAAGGTTGTGCAGACGGAATATTCTCACTCATATGCAAGAGAAGGTGGTTGAAAACTCTTATTTGGTTTTGGGCCCAGCTTTCAGGAAGGTTTGCCCTTCGTGTGGGGCAAGCACTTGCGGCTCAGAGTTTGAAGTCATCAGGGTGGTTGGGTGCCTGGTGCCGTAAACTGGCTGTGCGCGTGGTGGCGAGAGGGTGCCGGTGCTGGGTGCCGGGTGCCGGTGCCGGTGCTGGTGCTGTGAGCTGGCTGTGCACGTGGTGGAGCCGGCTGTGCGGGTATTTGGGTCAAGCGCTTCGGCGCAATCTTTTCAGGGCCATGGTGAAAGTGGTGTGACTCCATGTTGTCCACGAGCCTCACTGCCAAGCCACCAGCTTTGTAGCTTTGGCGCAGCAGGTGCGTACACACCACCTGTGAGTTTCCTGGTATATGGGCCTTTATGATTGTCACGTACAACATCCTACAGCCTAACCCCGAAGTCTTTTGAGGGATTTTTCCAATTTTCTAGACCACACTCCAAGCCGCTCCACACCAAACCACAGAAGCATTCTGACTCTCAAACATTCGGCTCGCCTTTTGCTGACGTCGAAAACAATATGGCCGTTGCCTTCAGTTGGCTCGAGTGGCCCTGTTCCTCAGTGAAGCCGGCGTCTCTTGGCGGAGATGCGCAGTGGCTTTGCCAGTTCCGTGTCCATCTAGTGGACGAGCGCCACTGTGTGGGTGACCGGGACAAAGACAGAAAAACATAGGCGACCGTATAGATTTAGCCAATTGGCTTTTCACCGTTGCAGACTATTCATTCCTTATGGACCGTTTGCACCTCAGCTGGCTACCTGGTTGGCCCCCGAGGCGTTGGATGAGGAGAGTGCGGTGGGTTCTGGTGGGCTCGCCGCGTTCGAGCACCGAGGGCCAATAAGTCCAGTCCAGCCGTGCTGGATGCACTCTCCCCACGAACATTCGTGGCTTCAAGGGGTGTTTCGCACTGTTCGCCGAACGGGCCCCTGACTATTGGCTGTTGGGGGTCCGTTGGGGGCTTGTTATGTGGGTAGTTGGGGATGAGTGGCGCTTCTTCGGTTGGACTTGAGAGTTCAGAACAAAAAACATGATGTTTGCTTTATTCTGGAGGGTTCTTCCGGTGCTCGTTCTCTACTCTTTAGAGCCTTCTTCGTGACTTCCCAAAGGCGCGAACCAGACACGAGGGGTTGGAGGTTGTGATTTTATTCGGTGTGTTTCTGGCCGGAACTTGGAGCACTTAGGCACGTGAACTGAGTACAATACATCCATGAAAAAAAACAAACGCAAAAAGGCAAAAAACATGAAAGTGGGGTTGGCCTTTTGGCCGCCCCGGCGTGAACGTTCACGCACGTGTGTGGACGTTTCTTGGAACAGGATATTCATTCACAATGTGGACTCTTACATTGGGAGAGCGCTGGTGAAAGAGTTGAGGAAGGCGGATGGCACCTCGGCACCAGTTCAGTAGTTCGGGCAGCCCCCCCCCGCGAGGAGGGTTGGTCCTGGAATGGCCCCGCCCCCTCGCCGCGCTGTTTTCTTTTGGATCGGCGGAAGGTTCCGGCGGCCCGTCCCGCGCGGCGCCCCTCAGGCGGCCTCCATCGCTTCTTCGGCACTGTGAAGAGCGGCTCCTCCGCGCCGCCCGCGGTGAAGCGCGTCGTGTGCCGGGATGATCCCAAGAAGGAGCGGGCCGCGAAGAGAGATCCAAGTGGGGACGGTGTTGGTGCCGGGGGAGGAGAAGAATCGAAGTTGCTTGGTGTGAATTGGGCTGGTAGACTTTGGAGAGGCTGTTTCATAGCGGCAGGACGTGAGGTTTCAGGGATTGAGTCCAGTTAGGAGTTGGTGAAATTTCAGTGAGGAGGTAGTAGAGGACCCCCAGAGATGGCTGGAAAACCATGAGTCATTTGGGCCCTCGGGCGAAAAAAATCATAGGTGAGGAGATGATGAGGGATGAAGGAATGTTCACATGTTCCATCTAAATACGTAGATTCGATGGAGTCCGCCCTTTTCTTTGGGCTACCAGTTGGTCGATGGCGCGGCCGTCAGCGAGGCCAAGAAGATGGCTGAGACCATGCAGTCCTGCAGATTGGTGGCCGCCAGTCGGCAACCGCTCGCGCTTGAACCGGCGAGAGGGATGGCCCAAGTGGCCCCGCGAGGAGGGGAATGAAAGAAGGTCTTCATGGATGATCATTTGGGCTGATCGTGTTATTGATGTAAAGGAGTCACCAAGATGTGTTTCCGATGCGGGGTGCAAATCAACCACCAAACTTGGGGATTGCACAGACCACTGTAGTTGGGCAAACATCCTGCAAGAACCCACTGAGGTGTAGAAAAAATGTTGTAGAAACTGTTTGTATAGTATGGAGGCATTCCCCATCATAAATGCTGCTCAGACACACAATAATCAGAGGCAATTGTTGACCGGTTCTTTCTTTCAGGGCGGTTTCCTGTTCCATCCTGTTTCCACTCTTGCTCTTGACCGACGTGTGGTTCTGACATGACCTAAACATACTGTTAAACAATGTTATACAAACATTGAAACACGAGGTGTTGCCTTGGCCTCCAGCACCATCCGCGCTGCATGTCTACCTTTACCGATTCTTTTTTTCCTCGCTGAGGTCATCAATTTAAACGACTGCAGCTTGGAGGATCTTCACTTTGCCATCACCGCGTTGAAAGTCGACCCCAAGGTGCGCAGGTCAACCGTCGCAGGTCGGCTGTCGCAGCTAAACCAGCCACCCAAGCCTATCCCTACCGTCGTCCAGCCTGACCCAGCAAAACCTTGTCCTTTACCTGCTTGAGTATTGTTTTTGTATGACAATCTCCAGTGAAATGAGTTTTTTTTTCTACCAGTAGGGTGTGATTATATGTATGGCAGGGGTTCCAGAACCACCATTCAAACAGCTATCCATGACTTGTCAGAGAAACCATCCTACTGTATATAAATTGCCATAGAGGCGGTTTTGGGTGTCCATGCCAATCAAAATCCCCAAGCCATCAATTCTTATTGTTAAAATTTACCCACCGGCCACAGGCTGTCAGGCAGTGCCATCACATGCCATCACCATCCATCACCGTATGATTTTGATAGATTTTGCTGCGAATGGCTGCATCTATACACTCATGTGACTGGCTGCCTTCCAGGTTCTTTGCTCCAAATCCACTGCGACCACCTTCACCCACCCACCCTGTCCCACGTCGAACCCGAGCCGATGTCGTCCTCCGAGCCTTCCAGGTCACGCCACCCCACGTGCTGGGCGAGTTGGAGAGCGAGGTGATCTTCCTGGTGATCTCCTCCGCCCCTTTGGGTCTACTTTCGAACCATGTTTTTGTTTTTTTTGGAGGAAGTTCCCCAAGGGAACGACGTACGGGAAGATAACAGTGCAAACCTCATGATTGTGGGTGGGTGACATTCCAAGGGATTCCTGTACGACGTAGATAGCTCCCTTGGACTGGGGAGCCGCTGGAGGAGAAGATCCGGAATCCGTGGGGGAGGGGGTGGAGCAGTCTGGAGGAGGGTGGAGGGTATGACCAGCTTGGAGGATTAAGCAGCCTATGCAGCTTCTTAGCGATTTCAGATACTCAAGGAGCAGCCATAACTGCTTTCAAGTACTAGAAAGCATGGAAAGCTCAGAGCTTCTGTTGAAACTGATGACGGGGTTTCAGGAACTGGAGGAATCTTCGATGCCCGAACCCCTTCTCCACCACGCCACGCTGAGGTCATGGTGTGGGCCGACACCAAGCCCGAAGCACCTGGCCAGGCCATCAAGGACGGCCCGCGAAGGGTTCCCGGAACCTGTGGCGTGGCTGGCCGCCTGCGAGGATGGTGGACTCCAAAAAGCTTACAGGACGGAGGGAGAAATAAAAGTCTCAAGAACCAAACGCTCCATGCATGCATGACCTACATTGTCCCTAAAACCACCAAGTTGTAGACGCACATTCCATACATGGAGTTACATGGAGTGTGTTGGCAAATGGCCTTAGCTGGAAACGTCCTCCAATAATTCCGGGGCTTGCAGCCACACCACGCATGCTCGATTCGGACCCAATCGCTTGCGATCTCGGGGTGCGTTAATTATGCTTGTGAGGTAGTGCGGTCAAAAGTAGTGGCAGATGTTGTTTGTGTGATGTAGACCTTGGCCAAGTATTGTAGGATCTTGATTGATAAACCCTCAATATGAAGAGGTCGCTCAATCCAAATGAGGGGGGGTTATGAATCAAAATCCTACATGCTTCTACCTTCTACCTTGTGCCGCTGATTGCAGATGATTGAAGCTGGAATGAGTTCATGGTCCATGGTCTAGTGTGATTCGGGGCGCTGGCAAACCCAGATGTTGCTTTGTACCGGATCATTCGTGCAATTACTTGTCAAAGTAAAGAGTGGAATATAGTAAAACGATGCGCTTGGATAAGGAAGTGTTCATGTGCTCAAACGCTGCAGCTTCAACATGACTTACCCGGAGTATGGAATGTTTGCCTTCTAGCTGGTTTGTATGGTTTTGTCTTAGTGTTTAATTCATTACAGGGCAAATATCTTCCTCGGTTGGACGGCCATAAATGGACAAGAGCTACCAGAAACCAACCACGGGATCAAGTTTGGTCACTTTGAAGAACCAGGCACCTATCCAGTATGTTAGGAATGCTGAGATGGTAGCAACTACCAGTTCCTTACACACACACAATCAGTGGCACACACACACACACACACATATATATATATATATATATACCTGGAACCCAACTGACCCGTGTTTTGATAGGAAAAGGCCATATTCTGGGTGGTTGGTGGTCCAAAATAGAGGTCATTCAGGTTCTAGGTATATATATATATATATATAGCTGGCATCCACCGGCCAAGTCAGCGTTTGTTTCGCTCCAGGCCAGCGACTACCTCCGCCGGGTTCCCCAAGCCGGCTCCAAGTTCGAGCAGCGGCCTGGCTTGGTTCGCTCTGGCGCCGGATTCCTGGATTCGTTTGGCCTTGACCCCCTTGACCTAGCTTGGTGCTCAGCAGGGGGGCCGACTGGTATTCCCCATGGTCTTCCCCCACCTATTCGGAGCCGTTAGCTCCGGAGCGAGCAGCTTCGGAGAGGCCCCAGCTGCTAAGTGACACTCCCGGAACCTCCACCCCTCTGGTGGAGCTCCACCCCTTTGAAGTTCGGATGTCATGCTCTTCCGCTTCGATGATTTCAGGCAGTGTACGTACAGTGAATGACGTTGAAACGACCAATCCACCAACCCCAACTGCTGCCCGGCTGCCCTGTGAAGGGTCCTTTTTGTCCGGGCCTGGAAAGGCCCAGGCCCAGGCCAACGATGCAGTACAGGAGGCTTTGAAGCCTTGGGTCCGTCCGTCCGCGCCTCCCAGCTTGGGTCCGTCTCCGGCCGTCTGGTCCACGCGGACGGCCCCACGCCCTTTCTCGACTCGCGGCGCAGGTGGAAGGAGATGGAGGACCTTGTCTTCAGATGCTTCAACCGAGAGGCTTCTCAAGTGAGCCTCGTCCTTCAACGTGTCGTTCACGTTCTGGTCCTTTCTGGAGTCTCGAAGTTGGAGGAGAGGGAGTGCAAACCGGTACAGCCTGCCTTTCAGAGTTCATAGATCTGGCTCCATGTGTCCAGAAGAGCCTGAATGCCGCGCCTGAAGGAGTTTAATTACCTTGCCACCCAAAATAATTGGAGATCCTCAGTGGGAGGCCTTTCCCAGTGGATCCCAGTTAGCAACATATCAGGAACCAGGAATTCTAGGTTTACTTACGGTGCGAGTCTAAGTCTGTGGAACTGCTGGTTACGTACCTTAGTGGAAACTGGATCCACAGGGTTTGTTTTTGACCCTCTGGTCGTGATGCTCACTGCCTCACGTTTGAGGAAAGCCTTCGTGGTGGCGGGCGGTCTTTTGTATGGCGAGGGCGAGGAAATCTTCGCACCTGCTTTCCAGGCTGGCGACGGAGACCCATTTCTTGGCTGGTGTGAGGTGCAGAACTCCGTTGTTTGTTGGAGTTCTTAGGGGAATAAAGCCAGGGAGATCATCGAGATGATGGTGTGTTTGTGTACCTGGCTCTTTTCCATTTGCAGCATAAATATCCTTGATCACCTATAATCTTCATCCACAATAGGTTTTGCCATCACAATTTGCTCATGACTCCCCTGTTAATGACCGTGCAACTTGCACAAGCAGATCACCACTGGGCTCGAAGGTGCCCAGGTGAGGGCAAACTCATGGGCCCTTGAAGATGAGCTATGAGACAGAGAGGTTGCCTCTACAACTCTGTTGGTGTTAGGCTTAGGGTTCGGCAGATAAGTGTATGTCGAACAGGGGTCCGCCGAAAGGACTGCAGCTTCAATTCCCGGTTTTATATATATATATATATACACAATGTTTATCTATGCTTATTTTTATACTGTACGTGTGGCAAGCGCATTGATAGAAACCATGTCTCTCAATTCCAAGAAGCTGCAATTCAAATCAGTTCCCTACATCTCAAATGTTTGGACATTGTATTGACACGTGTTGACATATACCTGGAGTCTCAGTTCGTACCGCGGAAAATGGGTACAAGTACCTGTTATTTTTAGGGTCATGTTCCATTTTCTAAGGTGCTTCAAGACTCCAGGTGTCTTTTTTCTTCACTCGGACTCCAACATGCTAAACTTAAATCGGTTCCCTGGCCTTGTCTTGGCAAATGTAACGATTCGACGTTGCAGTTTCTACTTGGACCTACTTCAAGGGGTGTCCTGAAAATCCCTAAGTAGTGTAGGGGCTTCCATTCATGACCCCTTTGAAGGTGCTGGTGCACCTTTTTTCAATTTGGGTGCGTGCTATTTGCTTTGGTATCTTTTTCTCAACTCCGACTCCAGCTCTTTGCCAGGACGCCCGTGGCGTCAGCGACTCGATGGTGGACATGAGCCCTGGCGTCAACAAGGTCCCCAGGGCGCCCTGACTGAAGGCTAGCTGTTGCTGAGGGAGCAACTGAGGGAGCAACGGGGGTATCTACAGTCTCATTACATAGGGAACCGTCCGGAGCTACAGGGGACCCAAGCCCTTGCCAGCTTGAGAGGTTCTGGGACCTTCTTCACCGTTCAGGTGGGATGGGTGAGGGTTGGTCAATGTATCGTATGCCGCATTGGCCATGGTCTTTTCCCATGGAGTGTGCCACGGGATGTGACCTCCAAGTGGTTTGCTGTTCGCCTCCCACCTGGTCACGGCGCAGAGGTGCATGTACGGGACTTGGCCCGCTTGGTGCGGCAGGTGAGCCTGACGGCAGCGCCTTGGAGCAGGGGAAAGCAAGGAAGCCTACTTAGGATACACTCCCTAAGGTTCCAGGAGCATCCTGAGGATGTCCTTTGGCCCTCCAAAGGCCATTCTTTGGAAATACTTCTCAGCTCCAAGGTCATCCTTGGGAGTCCCAGGACTGCGAAAAGGGCTGGAAGAATGATGGTTGCATGGATGCCGAACAGGTGGTTTTCCGCGTCCATGATTGTTTAAGGCATTGTGTGTGTGGTTGAAGAATGTAGACCTTTGATTCAGAACCTCTCATTTGGATTTCTTTTCTTCACATGGCGGGTTTTATGAATCCAGAGTCTAGATTAGAAGGGTAATGAGGAAGGTTCCCCTGCAACCAACGGGGTTTAGCATGTTTGCTGAGAACTGGTGACCAGGCTAGTGCAGTGTTCCTTAACTTGTCCTTTCCAGATTCACAATTGGCATATATATATATATAGATAGTTGTTTCATGGATAGTTCCCGTACGCTCGAATGTCCACAGTTTGTTATAGGACATGCCGTTAGTGTGCCACATGCCTCCAATGGATTTCTCAGTGCATTTGGGAACACATTCGTGGGTCATTTCATGGCTAGCATTTGCTGCCAGACTCCACCCAGGCAAAAGATGGTGTGAAGTTTAATGCGCAATCCCATCCATTTCACGTCAAACCTCTTGGGGCGCCACCAACAGGTTGTTGGCATGATTCTTCTTCAACGATGACCAGGGTCATACTAAGTGAAAGGCTTTTTAGGACTCCTGTTCGCTACCTTTACTATACACCGCGGCAAAGTCTGGTTGATTGCCAACAAAGTCTGGTTCGTTCAATCCCACCGGCCAGTGCTGAGCCACCCACCAGTGACAGTGGCGCCATGCCCCGCAAACCATGCCATGATGGGTTGAGCATGGTTTAACACGTTTGACTGGTCGCCATCGTTTTGAGCCATGCGCCATCAGTAGTGGCACAAGCCCAGTTTGAATCCATTGCAGGCTCACTCGCCGTTTCGAGGATGTAATGGTACACTGGCTAAATTGATCGCTGGTGACGATTGAATTGAATTGGGAAAGTCTCTTGCCCTGAAACATTTCAGGCTGAAAAAGAACAATCCAGGTTTGCTATGTACCAGAACATTGGTAAACATTGAGCCGTTTTCCTTCGTTTCTTTACAATGAACATTTCGGGCTGCAGAGCAAACCGCCGATGTTCCGACTGACTGGCCTGACCCAACTTGTGTCCCTACACCCTCCAGGGTCTGCTGGGACCAGGGCCAGGACCACTCTGCACGATTGATTCGCCTGCCGGCGTCCAAGGAAGGGATCAACCCCTTGGAAGCGACTCCTTACTTCCTGGCAGTCGACCAGCCGTGCCATGGTGAAAAGCAGGGCGGGGCTGTGACTGCGATGTGACCTGTTTTGTTTTGGTTGGTCCATCGTGCAGACCCTTCAGCACCCGTTCAACACAGAATGTTGGTACTACTGTACTGCTGCGTGCTACGCCAAACCCAAACGAGCTGAGATGCTGAAGGCCATTCTATTCTTCAGCGGCTCCGGAGTATTGGGATTCATGGACAGATGGGACTCCTATCGGGGTAGGTGCTACAATCATGGTGTCCTGTTTGCTTATCGGCCTGACCTGAATTCCATCGTAGGTTTGTTTTATTGCACAGCTGGAGCTTATGTGGTGCTCCTGAACAATAAGAGCCCTTGGAGCTGCTACTGCCAGTCCTTCATGCAGCAGTCATGAGGCACTTGTTTTGCAGGAAAATCCGATTGTGTTGCTTGAACATGTTCCAACCAAACCATCCTGCAGAATTTCTTGGCATCAATCAAAGAAGCTTCCTCCAACAAGGACCGCAGTCAGAGGGTCTTCTTTGTGGGAGTAGGCAGCAAACAAATTGGTTTTGTTCTTTCATTCACCACCCCTGACCTGAAAGCAGAGGCTGAAACGGTATGAACAAGTTGCTCCATTGCAAACCTGTCGACATGCTCACGTGGTGTGCAGCAGGGTTCGGCATGGCTTGCATGACCCGGCCAAAGGGGCTATGAATTCGGTGTCTTCGGTTTTTTTCTTGGTGGAAATGAAACCCTACTACATCACAGCCACAGCACACAACCACAACACACAACCATAGCACACAACCAGAGGACCCACAAGCAAAATCAAGAATAGCAAAGCTCACGACCGTGGTAACGTGCTCCTCACCATGGAAATGTCATGGCGGGGATCACTCAAAGTAAAGAATCAATTTTTGTGGTTGAAGAATGATTAATTATAGGTGTTGAAAGATTCAGAAGAGTAAGAGAACTCTCACGAGCACTTCAAGGGATGTTTTTCTTGGGATGGACAATGCATTGGGCCAGGTCTATAAACCATCCAAAGTTGGGTGGTGCGGGTCCATGCTGCACGGAGTGTACGGGATCCATATAGGAGTGCCTAAATGATGTAAAGAGCTCAGACGTCCCAAGAGCTCAGACGTCTCTGCACTCATCCCAGTCGGACAGCTCGACGAGGTCAGACCCAACTATCCCAGCAGTTTGGGCTTAGCAGCTCGAGCTCCGAGGCCTTCGGCGGTGTTGCAGACGGACTTAGTCGGCATTGTGGACAAAGTGGGCGAGCACTATGAGGCGCCCGCGACTCACTCCCGAAGATCGCTAGGCTCATCCGCACTGGACGATTCGAATGCCAAAGCTGCGACTCATGCATGGAATTGCCTGGGTATTTTTTTTTGGCATATATACATATATTTAGACATGCACATGTACACGGTATATATATATGTAATATTTATATATATACACATGAATATCTTATACCATATGTATGGTCCTTTTCCACCTTATCACGATCTCTTGATGTCCTGGACCGGTCCCAAGTGTCCCAAGTGTCCGCCTCTTCGGACTTCCTCCGGGGGCCGCCACCAGGTGCCGCGCGTGGATGCCGAGGCGACGCCGGGGTCACCGGACGGTGCTGCGGACGGTGCACCGGACCTGACACCGTGGGGGGTGTGTCGACTTCAGCACCGGACCTGAACGCCTGTGATTCGGGGGGTGGTTTGAATCCAAACACCCACCCCGGACTGGGTCCGGACATGATGAGATGTAAGACGACCAAGCGCATTCGGACCTGCGGTGCGGGTTGATGCCTCGATGGTGGATGAATCGGGCCTGGCCCAGGCTGAGGTTGGAGAGGTTTAGTTACTTTTCCATGGATCTCCTCCGGAGTTGGAGTGAGAAGAAGGTGCCTCTTCAGGAAGCCTATGATTGTTTGCTTCATGCAGCACGCCTCGAAATTCGTGTTAGTAGGGCGAACTGAACTTTCCTTTTTCGTGTTGTGTTTCTGCGACCTTTGCTCCACTGGGATCTCTTAATCCACTAAATACGCACATTTTGTCAGGCGATGAAGGTGGAAGAGCCCGAGCGGGAGCTTCGAGAGGCGCCGCGGCGAAAAAATATTCGGGGTGGAAGCCGAGTCTTGAAAGAGTTTCATTGGCCCCAGCCTGGAAGTACGTATGGAAGTCTACGAATCACTTGCAGCTCATCATTTTTGAGGATTGGTTTTCCAAAATGAAGGTGAACCATGACACTTAAACCCTGGACGTCCATATTGGCTGTCCACTAGTGAACACTCTCTCCTGCTCGCATCGGAATGTGGATGCACATCTTATGAAGCCTTTCTTTTCCGTCAGATTTGGGAGTTCAGCGCCCCATGGGTCGCAGCCTTTCTGGTTGAAAAGGACCTAGCTGGACCGGCTGGAAGCACGCCCACCCCGCAGCATGCCGGTCACCACATGGGAGCAAAGGTCAAGAGGCTAAGAGGTCGAACTGGAGCAGTCCTCACTTCTAATGGTCAAAACGAGATCAGCTGAGCCGGGCCTTCCCTCTTGTGAGGAAACAGATGTGGACCTAATATGGGGTCGATCATGGTCGATGTTTTGGTTTCCACAGGTCCGGGTTGGAGGGAGTGATTACTGTAAATTGAGTCCTAGAAGAGCCGGGGTATCGTGATTTGGGGAGGAAATCACTGGTCTGGAGGCGAAGGAGGAGAGGCGAGGCAGGGTACCTGTACCTACTGCTAGTGATGTTGAGAAAAGCAGCCGTAGCATCTTTGCGAATGAAAGTAAGCCGCCCAAGAATGAACCAACAAGTCTATCAAGTGGTGAAAAGAAACACGGCACACATGATGTTGAGTTCTCGTGTCCTTTGAAAAACTACAGCGGTCAGTCATTGGAGTCAGTACGAACAGGGAAGATTAGAGACGACGACGACGACGACGACGACGACGACGACGACGACGACGACGACGACGACGACGACGACGACGACGACGACGACGACGACGACGACGACGACGACGACGACGACGA